CATGGCAAATAGGTGAGGAAACAGTGGAAACAGTGTCAGACTTTATTTTTTGGGACTCCAAAATCACTGCAGATGGTGATTGCAGGCATGAAATTAAAAGATGCTTACCCCTTGGAAGAAAAGTTATGGCCAACCTAGACAACATTAAAAAGCAGAGACATTACTTTGCCAACAAAAGTTCGTCTAGTCAAGGCTATGGTTTCTCCAGTGGTCATGTATGGATGTGAGAGTTGCACTGTAAAGAAAGCTGAGTGCTGAAGAATTGATGCTTTTGAACTGTGGTGTTGGAGAAGACTCTTGAGAGTCCCTTGGACTGCAAGAAGATCCAACCAGTCCATCCTAATGGAGATCAATCCTGACTATTCATTGGAAGGACTGATGTTGAAGCTGAAACTTCAATACTTTGGCCACCTGATGCAAAGAACTGACCCCTTGGAAAAGTCCCTGATGCTGGGAAAGATTGAAGGTGGGAGGAGAAGGGGATGACAGAGGATGAGATGGTTGGACAGCATCAGTGACTCAATGGACATGAATTTGAGCAAGCTCTGGGAGCTGGTGATGGACACTGAGGCCTAGTATGCTGTGGTCCATGTAGGTGCAAAGAATCTGACATGACTGAGTGACTGAACTGAACTGAACTGATTACCACCAGTGGAGGTGTGTAATCACTAAGCTGAGTTAGAGAGGAACTCTCAGACTTTCCTTTTTCTCTTCAGATTATTTAGAGCACAGCCCATACCTCTTCAATAAGCGGGAGAGGGCCTGGTGAGGAGGAGCATATGGCAGTGAGCTCACTAGTAGAAGACTACGAAAACTTGGCTCTGACATTCAATTGCTGTGTGATTTCAAGATAGTGACTTAATCATTCTGAGCCTCAGCTTCTACCTCCAAACAGTTGTTTGTCAAGTATGCACTCTATTTATTTTAAGAGGATGTGAAAATGTTTTGAGATAATGTGTATAAAGACATTTTACGACATGCAATAGAGATGAACTGATTAGAAGGAATCTTTTCAGTATTTAATGAGAGTGTAGGCTAGGAGATTTGGGGGATTGGAAGATAGAAAAAAATATACCCTACGGAGGAAATCTATGAAATGAAGTGAAGTGAAAGTTATTCAGTTGTGTCTGACTCTTTGCGACCCCTTGGGCTGTAGCCTGCCAGGCTCCTCTGTCCATGGAGTACTACAGGCAAGAATACTGGAGTGGGTAACCGTTCCATTCTCCAGGGGTTCTTCCCAACCTAAGGATCAAACCCAGATTTTCTGCATTGCATGCAGATTCTTTACCATTTGAACAACCAGGAAAACCCATATATAGTCATAATTAAGGAAATCTTTAGAACATAGTTCATGTGGATATTTAAAACCTACTGCTTAATAAGTCTTTGATCTTGACTAAAATGTCTTACTATAAGATGGTACTTAATTCAAGTTATCAAAATGAACATAGTCCTAGAAATAAAATATTTTTCTACTATGGACTGATCTTTTTACTCCTGTGGAGTTTCAGAAGTATTGATATCAAATTTTTGCATAAATATGTTCCTAAGACATATGCTTTAAAAATATAACATAAAGTTATTCTTTAATTTCTGAGCATGAAAATATGCATGATTCCATGTTTATTATGTTGACATAATGTTGACACTGTATTTTGGGTAATAAATTGCTATACAAAATGGCTCAGTCAGAGTCCAAAAAGGTCAGTAAGAAAGTAATTTATATTCTGAGGGGTTTTGCTTCCTCATCATAAAAGCTTTTTTAATCAGGGCATACAGATGCGTTATGCCATAGAATGACTTACTTTATGTTACAAAGCTATTATATCCAGCTTTACGTTACAAAGCTATTAAATTCAGATTAAATCAGGATTTCAGTACCAATAAATATGGGTATTTTAAAGCTATTATTAGACAAGAATTTAAAACTATGGAATAAGAAAAATGAGATTTTATAAACTTAATTTTTATTGGCATATAGTTGATTTACAATGTTGTGCTAGTTTTCTGCTACACAGCAAAGTGAATCAGCTATATGTATACTTGTATCCACTCCTTTTTAAGATTCTATTCTTATGTAGGTCATTACAGAATATTGGGTAGAGTTCCCTGTGCCATACAGTAGATTTTTATTAGTTATCTATTTTATAAATAGTAGTATGAATATGTCAGTCTCAACCTCCCAGCTTTTCCCCATCTGTCCTCCCTTCTCCCCCCAACCCCTTGGCAACCATGTTTGTTTTCTACTTCTGTGACTCTATTTCTGTTTTATAAATTGGTTCATTTGTACTATTAATTTTAGATTCCAAAGAAATCTAAAAAAAAATCATATATTTTTTTTCTCTGTCTGATTTACTTCATTCAGTATGAGAATTTCATGGTCCACCTCAATACTGCAAAAAAAAAAAAAAAAAGAAAAATTATTTAAAATTAAAATTTATGTTTGGATTCTGAAAAGTGCTTAATTAAATAACATGGATTAAAATAATAATCACAAAATAAATATATATAGCCAACGGGGGGGGTGGGGGGAAGGAAAGTGAGATAAAGGAAATAACATTTATTGAGTAAAATTCCTAACTGGAACACTAAATCTGTATAAAACATAAGGAAAACAATTATGTAAAAATAGTTAGGCCTCATTTTAGAAAAAAGAAATTTGTATTCAGACAATTGAAGCATATAATCAAATGTCTTGTAGAGTATACATGGCCCTCCAATGTTTGAATATATGTTTAACTTGATTCACCCATTTTTATGGAAGAATATAGAGTACACATTATGTATCAGGGACTGTACTCAGAGCTGGTTATTCGAGGATACATCTATTTCAATAATCCAGGGATATTGACCAGAGAGTGTGTGTTGGCTGTGGCACTGAAAAGTAAAATGTCTGTACCAGAGCATTTGTCAAGTAGAATTTATAGTTTTGCATTTCAAGGTGGACAGAAAAGGTAAGAAACTGAAGGATAAGAAAAATGGAATGGGAATATATGTTCTTTATGTTTATGGTTAGGGATGAAACATAGCAGCATGTTCAGATTAGACCAGTGACCGATATCAGAAAAATTGGTAGAAAGATTTCTCAACTGAAGGAAAAGTGTCTGATAATGAAACTTCTCAAAAATTGAAGTTGGCAGCCTTGTGAAAATCCCTGTTAAAGGCATTCAATGAAGTACTCGATCACCACTCTTTCCTTTATTGTTGAAATTCAAGTATATCCAGTGAAAACAATGATCTTCTTGACTTTATACTCCCTTCCATTTCGGATTTCATGGCTGTTAGAGTGAAAAATAATGTAAATTTTGGAGTCTACCAGATTCGAAAAAGTTGATTTAAATAAAATCTAGAAACTAATATAAGCAAACAAAAACAAACAAAGCAACATGGTTTTTTTTGGACTGAATGTTTGGTCATGAAAGTTTGAAAGTTTGGTATGAAGTTACATTTCAATTAGTGAGGCAAGACCTAGTTTCAATAAACTTTGACAGGTGCTCTGACATGTGTCTGAGCATGCCAAGAGCAGTGGTGGAGGCTTAGTTGCTAGGTCATGTCAGACTCTTTTAAACCCCATGGACTGTATAGCCCACCAGGATCCTCTCTCCTTGGGATTTCCCAGGCAAGAACACAGGAGGGGGTTGCCATTTCCTCCTCCAGGGGATCTTCCAGACCCAGGGATCGAAACTACATCTCTTGCATTGCAGGCAGATTCTTTCCTGAGCCACCAGGGAAGACCCAGGGCCAAAGGGAGGATGATCCAGTTCAGACAATAACTTGGAGGAAAGGCATGTCACAGGAGCTGATTACAGAACTGAGTTTTGATGTACAAATAGTTTTTTTAAGCCGAGAAATTTGGTGGCAAGAAAAATATTAACAGCAGAATAAATGATACTCATTTTCCTCTTTTACATGTCAAAAAGGTAAGTGTGTTATAGAGGAATGTTTAGAAGAAAGGAGACATATATTTCAAAGTCACAATGAACATTTCTGTAGGAGGTTGAGAACTTTTGATTAATGTACATATGAATAAAGATAAAATTGAGTTTTGTGGTACTGGATGTCATGAGTGTATTAGGAGCTGAAGATGGGCTTTTGCTGTAAGTATCAAAGTTCACCTACTTACCTTTAGCATTTGAACTAAATGTGTAAGGAACAGTAGTGATAGAAGAAGGAAAGAATGATTGAAAGAAGGGAATGGACTAACATCTCATAACACAAAACCCTGATAAGGCTCTATGTGAAAAACTTAGTTTCTGGTCTAACTGAGGTCTTCTGATTCTTCAGCCAAATAAAGTTGGTTAAATTGTTAAAGTCTCCTCAATGGTGATACTCAGGTAGCTACAAAAAAGAGAGAGAAAAAGAGGGCTGCCCCACTTGAACAGGACCTTCCATTGCCTGGTGCATGGAAGAAGAAAATATAAGAAGAAACACATACAGCATACTGTCTCCACAACTGTAAGTATTCACTCTTCCAGGGAATGGACTTCATTTTGAATTATCAGATACTGATCAGATTCTTAGGATTTGAGGAGAGTTGGACAAGGCAGGAGTAAGGAGTGCAGAAAGGTAGGAGAAAACAGACAGGAAGTTGCAATGATTCAGGAAAGGAGACAGGAATATTCCTTTTCCTGTGGTCAGAAGCAGGTATTTTGGAAAAATGAGAGAGAAAAGGAGGCAAAATTGTCTGACATTCCCCAACAAGCTTGTCTTATAACATATGTTAAATGATGGGAGGTTTTGAAAATGACCAGCTTTGGGTCACACGATTCTACTAAGACAGTTTGTCAGCAGAACAAATTAAAGTGAAGCTCTTAAAATGAAACAGGAGTCTCCAAAATAATGAGCTATTTTAAGCAAACGTTATTGACTGTCAGGGGCGACATGACTGGCTCATAATGTTGCTTCCATATTTGTTGTCTATGTCAGGGAATGAATGGTATGCTCTGCCAATTACTGACAGTATATAAAGGTCCACGGGAAGGAGAAGACACACACTTCAGAAACATCCTCTTGCAGTCCACCTGAATCCTCTTCCCTTGACAACATGTGTTGTAACTACTACGGCAACTCCTGTGGCTATGGCTGTGGAAACAGCTATAGCTGTGGATTCAGCCCCTACTATGGCTGTGGATATGGAGCTAGATATGGCTGTGGATACGGCTCAGGATATGGCTGTGGATATGGAACAGGATATGGCTATGGATTTAGCCCCTATTATGGCTGTGGTTATGGAACAGGATATGGCTGTGGATATGGCTCTGGCTGTAGCAGCTACTGGCCAGTTTGCTACAGGAGATATTATTCTTCTTGCTGCTAGAACATCACCATCTTAGCCTAAGTTGCTTCTGAAATGAGGAATCTAAAGATAATACTGCTTCAAGGATCTGCAACCCAGGATTTCTACTTGCAAGAAATTGCATGCCTGACAGAGGCTTTGACCTCTAAGTACCCATTTTTAGATTGACATCCTTGAGGTCTGAGGTTCTATGGTGATAACATCTGACTCTTCCAAATGTTAGCCTCTACTCCCTTGATCTCTGGGTCTCTGTTATGCCTGTGTTAATGAACCTAACATTCTATAGCATGGATAACCCCTTATTCTCAATAAAAATGGCTCATTGCTTCTAACAAATCTCTGTGAATTAGTCTTTTTTGAGGTGCTATGGCCTCTTTCGAAGACTGGGCTGAGAGGTTGCTTGAACCTTGAGTTGTTTGATATAATACAAGCATTTCTTCTTGTATTTGCATCCAAAATAATACCTTCTCCAACTATTTCTTGTATCTCACGTGCTCAGGCACTCACATACCCAGGTACAAATCTCACAGTATTTCAGATATGAGCTTTGCAAATCTCACTGTATCATGAATGGAGCTGGGGGAGCAAGTGGAGGTGGAATGACATGTATCCAGATGGTGATGACAAAGCCCAGGTAGAGGAGAGATGATCTGACTTCCTGACGGAGTAATGGGATAGAAGAGAGACTTCCCAGAAGTAACGAGAAATTGGAAGCACGGTTGGGTGTTAGGCACTTAAGAATAAAGAACTAAGGAATGCATATTCTTTGCAGCCAAAGATGGAGAAGTTCTATACAGTCATCAGAAACAAGACCAGGAGCTGACTGTGGCTCAGATCATGAACTCCTCTATTGCCAAATTCAAAGTTCAGTCGAAGAAAGTGGGGAAACCACTAAACTATTCAGGTATGACCTAAATAAAATCCCTTACAAATATACAGTGAAAGTGAGAAATAGATTTAAAGGACTAGATCTGATGGACAGAGTGCCTGATGAACTATGGATGGACTTTGTGACATTGTACAGGAGACAGGAATCAAGACCATCCCCAAGAAAAAGAGATGCAAAAAAGTAAAATGGCTGTCTGGGGAGGCCTTACAAATAGCTGTGAAAAGAAGAGAAGTGAAAAGCAAAGGAGAAAATGAAACATATTCCCATTTCAATGCAGAGTTCCAAAAAATAGCAAGGAGAGATAAGAAAGCCTTCCTCAGTGAACAATGCAAAGAAATAGAGGAAAACAATAGAATGGGAATGACTAGAGATCCCTTCAAGAAAATTAGAGATACCAAGGGAATATTTCATGCAAGTTGGGCTCAATAAGTGATAGAAATGGTATGGAGCTAACAGAAGCAGAAGATATTAAGAAGGGATGACAAGAATACACAGAAAAACTATACAAAAAAGATCTTCACGACCCAGATAATCACGATGGTGTGATCACTCACCTAGAGCCAGACATCCTGGAATGTGAAGTCAAGTTGGTCTTAGAAAGCATCACTATGAACAAAGTTAGTGGATGTGATGGAATTCCAGTTGAGCTGTTTCAAATTCTGAAAGATGATGCTGTGAAAGTTCTGCACTCAATATGCCAGCAAACTTGGAAAACTCAGCAGTGGCCACAGGACTGGAAAACGTCCGTTTTCATTCCAACCCCTAAGAAAGCAATGCCAGAGAATGCTCAAACTACCGCACAATTGCACTCATCTCACACGCTAGTAAAGTAATGCTCAAAATTCTCCAAACCAGGTTTCAGCAATATGCAAACTATGAAATTTTAGGTGTTCAAGCTGAGACTGGATGCCATGATCTTAGTTTTCTGAATGTTTAGCTTTAAGCCAACTTTTTCACTCTCGTCTTTCACTTTCATCAAGAGGCTCTTTAGTTCTTTTTCACTTTCTGCCACATGGGTGGTGTCATCTGCATATGTGAGGTTATTGATATTTCTCCCAGCAATCTTGATTCCAGCTTGTGCCTCTTCCAGCCTAGCATTTCTCATGATGTACTCTGCATATAAGTTAAACAAGCAGAATGACCATATACAGCCTTGGCGTACCCCTTTTCCTATTTGGAAACAGTCTGTTGTTACATGTTCACAGTATTTAGAAACCAAGGATGCTACTAATTCTCCAGGGCACAGAACAACATTTAATAACTAAAAGCAAAATAATCCAGAATATCAGTAGTACTGAGCATAGAAATATTACAGTATAGCTGTGTGTTTACAAATAAGTTTCTCTCTCTATGGATGTCTAAATCCAAACCTACTCTTCCTTCTCACTCTAAACTAAACATCTAAACTTTCTATTGTCAAACAAGTAGGAAAAAAAAAAGTGTAGCTTTTTAAAATTTCAGTTCAGCTCAGTTCAGTTGTCATTCAGTCATATCCGATTCTTTGTGACCTCATGGACTGCAGCAAGCCAGGCTTCCCTGTCCATCAGCAACTCCCAGAGCTTGCTCAAACCCATGTCCATTGAGTCTGTGAGGCCATCCAACCATCTCATTCTCTGTTGTCTTCTTATTTCCTGCCTTCAATCTTTCCCAGCATCAGGGTCTTTCCCAATGAGTCAGTTCTTAACACCAGCTAGTCAGAGTACTGGAGCTTCATCTTCAGCATCTGTCCTTCCAATGAATATTCAGGACTGATTTCCTTTAGGATGGACAAGGGACTTGTCCTTGCTGTCCAAGGGACTCTCAAGAGTATTCTCCAAAAACATAGTTCAAAAACATCAATTCTTTGGCATTTAGTTTTCTTTATAGTTCAACTCTCACATCCAACATGACTACTGGAAAAACTATAGCTTTGACTAGATGGACCTTTCTCATCAAACTCATGTCTCTGTTTTTTAAATGCTGTCTAGGTTGGTCATAGCTTTTCTTCCAATGAGCAAGCATCTTTTAATTTCATGGCTGCAGTCACCATCTGCAATAATTTTGTAGCCAGGAAAATAAAATCTCTCACTGTTTCCACTGTTTCCCCATCTATTTGCCATGAAGTGATGGGACCAGATGCCATGATCTTAGTTTTCTGAATGTTGAGTTTTAAGCCAGCCATTTCATTCTCCTCTTTCACTTTCATCAAGAGGCTTTTCAGTTCCTCTTCACTTTCTGCCATAAAGGTGGTGTCATCTGCATATCTGAGGTTATTTATATTTCTCCCACTAATCTTGATTCCAGCTTGTGCTTCATCCAGACTGGCATTTTACATAATGTACTCTGCTTAGAAGATAAATAGGTAGGGAGACAGTATACAGCCTTTACTTACTCCTTTCCCAATTTGGAACCAGTTCATTGTTCCATGCCCAGTTCTTACTGTTGCTTCTTGACCTGCATACAGGTTTCTCTGGAGGCAGGCAAGGTGGTCTGGTATTCCCATGTCTTAAAAAATTTTCCACAGTTTATTGTGTTCCACACAGTTAAAGGCTTTGGTGTAATCAATAAAGCAGAAGTAGACTTTTTCTGGAACTCTTTTTCTTGTTCTATTTTATTTTATTTTTTTCAGTTGGATTTTCATTTATTTGCAACATAAGAACTTAACAAAATAAAAAAATTTAAAGTATTTATTACTTGTAATATCATTAAAAACCACCAAATTCTTAGGAATATATTTTATAAAATATATATAAACCTCTATACTAAAAATTATTACTACAGAAAATTATTAAGAAAGACTGAAGAAGATATAAGTAAAGATCAGACAGATTAGACATATTAGCATATTGCAAATCTATCAGTTCTCCCCATTTTGATCTATAAATTCAAAATCTCATTAGATTTCATTGTGCCGGTTGACTGACTAGCACTGTCAACTGTTCCATTTTAAAGTTTGGTGGGGGGTGTGTGTTATTTCTGTTTATCTCACTTGCTTAGGTGTAGCACTATCTTTCATAATCAAGCAGATTCCAATACTTGTTAGCTTTTACTATAAGAACCATTATATCTTCTATTGTACACTCAAATTTCAACAACAGTGAGATGAGTGGTAATCCAATACTTTATTGAATGCTTTTAGAAGGAATTTTCATCAAGCTTCTGATTTCATTTTCTGAGAATTTTCAATATTAGGCATTTTTCTTTCAGTTGAGAAATCATTCAACCTTTTTTTTTTCTTCTATTGATCACTGGTATAATCTTATGACTCTGCTATGTTTAATCACAAATGATAGGCATAAAGAAAATATATCCTCATTCCAATTGTCATTATGCTTCAGTTTTCTTACCTTTCCTATCCTCGTGATTTGAAATTATAAGGTATGCTTCACAAGTTCTCTACAATACACACTTTGCTTTTCAATACCACTGCCAAAGCAGAATTTCTGGCCACAATTCCCCTGGTTTACTGAAAAGTCATCCATCTTAATTGCATTATTTCTAAACCTTTTCATTCAAACCTCCCCATACCTAATGATGACTGCAGAACCACCTCTATTCTGTGCATCATGGAATAACCAGCTCTGGTTATAATACCTTGCACATAAGTTGGGCTCAATTAATATTTCTCTAATAAAAATTGATAGATTAAGTTAAATTGTGTTCAAATATTTGTGTCAAATTTGTAAACTAATTGATATTTGGACTGATTATCACCATTTTGTCATTTCACTGAGCTGAATGTCTTGTGTTCTTTAACTAGTGAAAGTATGAATGTGTTAGTTGCCCAGTTATGTCCAGCTCTTTGCAACCCCATGGACTGTAGCTGGCAGGCTCCTCTATCCGTGGAATATTTCAGGCAGGAATATTGGGCTGGATAGTCATTGCCTTCTGCAGGGGATCTTCCCAACTGGAAGATCCTACAGGACTGACCCCAGGTCTGTGCTGCAGGCAGATTCTTTCCTGTCTGAGCCACCAAGGAAGCCCTCTTTGACTAAGGGAGTCACCACGTTTCAGATTTGGAAGGTATGTTAAGAGTTAGTTTGTGAAGACTCTTTACTGGATATGTTAGATATCTCATACATGCTTACTAAATCATATTC